GGCTCAGGTTATCCTGATCCATCTCTATAGTTCTGCTGCTGTAGGCTTAGACTGCTGGAGGACATAGGGACCCCCATTTCATCATTCTGCTTCATTCTCTCTCTGTTCTCCTATTCTGCAGAATCTGTTAGTTCAATCTCTAACCTTCTGCTCTCTCTGCTTTTCCTCAGAGTAGCTTTGCCTCGTCTGTTCCTGTTTGGCTGTGACGTCATCCTGGAAAGAAACATCAGCTGTGCTGCTTCTATCAACACCCTTGTTTATAGATGTTGGAGATCGGCCTGTTTTCCAGTGTGGTCCTGTTTCTCTGACCGTGACTGAGTGGATGTGCTCTCTTCGTCCTCTGGCATGGGAGCTGCCTTGGAGCTCGTCTGCCTGGCTGTGTGTTTCCTGGACGGGGCCGCCTTTTACAGCTGCTTTTTGTATCTCTGCTTCTGTCTCCTTGAACCCCAGTCGGCCTCAGCAGATGGCCGCTCACACTGAGCCTGGTTCTGCTGGAGGTTTCTTCCTGTTAAAAGGGAGTTTTTCCTCTCCACTGTCGCTACAAGCATGCTTAGTGTGGGGGATTGTATTTGAGTCAATGAGTCAATGCAATCAACTGGTTTTCCTTAGATAGAAAACTTTGTATCAATTTGACTGTATGATCTGGTTGAACTGTAAAGTGCCTTGAGATGACATGTGTTGTGAATTTGGCGCTATATAAATAAACTGAATTGAATTGAAATTTTCACAGGTCTGCCTAAAAAGTGGATCAGACAGCTGCAGCTGATCCAGAACGCTGCTGCCCGTGTCCTCACTAAGACTAAGAAAGTAGAGCACATCACCCCAGTTCTAAAGTCCTTCCACTGGCTCCCTGTATCTCAGAGAATAGACTTTAAAATCCTTCTGTTAGTCTATAAATCTCTGAATGGCTTAGCGCCTAAATCAGTGATGGGCAGTAGCGCCGCTACATGTAGCGAAGCTATTAGTTTAACTACATTTTCCAGTAGCTTGACCATAGCGTCGCTGCTTTATTTATCAAGTAACTTTCCTGTAGCGACGTTATTGTTTTGATCAAGTAGCGACGTAGCGTCCACAAACGCTACAAAATCCAGGGCATAACTAAGAAATGAAACCAGGTTTTCTATTTTGAAACAACAATCAGCCACAAGCTACTGTAAATAGCAGTTTCAGCTGACGCTTTATAAGTGGCGTAGTAGCACAGGCACACTCCGTAGGGTTAAACAAGCGCACCTTTTCCGAGGCTGTCGTTCTATTGGCTGGAAAGGTTGCTAGGCGACGATCCAACTGCAGTCCGAGAGAGCAACAAAAATCCGCAAGCAGAGCCTACGGGTTTGCGAACGTATCTGAGACTCAAACAGAGCGCGGTTTGTGCGCGACGAGAAGCAGGCAAGCGAGAGGAGAATATCTGTGCAAGAAGCATTAAATCTGAGAGAAGAAACAAAGATTTGAGAGAGAGGAGAAAAGATTTGAGAGAGAGCGCTTGTTTGGAGTGTGAGCATTATAAGTTTTGAGTGCAAGAAGATGAAATTCTTTTCTCAAATTGAAATGATATGCTCTTGCATTATGGCAGGATAATTCTCCCATATGTGCCACTAAGATACTCTAATTAGAGAGCAGTAGTGAAACTTCGATATTGTATTTTCATGGCCTAGTTTACCTGACAGGATGTTTACATAAATCTGTTTTTAGGCTTTGCACAGATAAGATATTTTATTTATGGAGGAACAGCTCTACCGTATATATAAAATAAATACATAAAAAAATAAATGCTCAATAAAGAAATAAATAAGCATTCAATTAATTGCCCCCAAAAATACAATGAATAAATATGTAGGTAGAAATAAAATTATATGGTGAGACATAAATATACACTATATTGCCAAAAGTATTTGCTCACCCATCCAAATTATTGGAATCAGGTGTTCCAATCACTTCCATGGCCACAGGTGTATAAATTCAAGCACCTAGGCATGCAGACTGTTTTTACAAACATTTGTGAAAGAATGGGTCGCTCTCAGGAGCTCAGTGAATTCCAGCGTGGAACTGTGATAGGATGCCACCTGTGCAACAAATCCAGTCGTGAAATTTCCTCGCTCCTAAATATTCCACAGTCAACTGTCAGCTGTATTATAAGAAAATGGAAGTGTTTGGGAACGACAGCAACTCAGCCACGAAGTGGTAGGCCACGTAAACTGACGGAGCGGGGTCAGCGGATGCTGACGCGCATAGTGCGAAGAGGTCGCCAACTTTCTGCAGAGTCAATCACTACAGACCTCCAAACTTCATGTGGCCTTCAGATTAGCTCAAGAACAGTGCGCAGAGAGCTTCATGGAATGGGTTTCCATGGTCGAGCAGCTGCATCCAAGCCATACATCACCAAGTGCAATGCAAAGCGTCGGATGCGGTGGTGTAAAGCACGCCGCCACTGGACTCTAGAGCAGTGGAGACGCGTTCTCTGGAGTGACGAATCGCGCTTCTCCATCTGGCAATCTGATGGACGGGTCTGGGTTTGGCGGTTGCTAGGAGAACGGTACTTGTCTGACTGCATTGTGCCAAGTGTAAAGTTTGTTGGAGGGGGGATTATGGTGTGGGGTTGTTTTTCAGGAGCTGGGCTTGGCCCCTTAGTTCCAGTGAAAGGAACTCTGAATGCTTCAGCATACCAAGACATTTTGGACAATTCCATGCTCCCAACTTTGTGGGAACAGTTTGGAGCTGGCCCCTTCCTCTTCCAACATGACTGTGCACCAGTGCACAAAGCAAGGTCCATAAAGACATGGATGACAGAGTCTGGTGTGGATGAACTTGACTGGCCTGCACAGAGTCCTGACCTCAACCCGATAGAACACCTTTGGGATGAATTAGAGCGGAGACTGAGAGCCAGGCCTTCTCGTCCAACATCAGTGTGCGACCTCACAAATGCGCTTCTGGAAGAATGGTCAAAAATTCCCATAAACACACTCCTAAACCTTGTGGACAGCCTTCCCAGAAGAGTTGAAGCTGTTCTAGCTGCAAAGGGTGGACCGACGTCATATTGAACCCTATGGATTAGGAACGGGATGTCACTTAAGCTCATATGTGAGTCAAGGCAGGTGAGCAAATACTTTTGGCAATATAGTGTATGTATCACTTAATTAGCTTCTTTATTTTTTCACCTTTTTTGTAAACAGTTTCATTTGTTACTTGAATCGACTGTTTAATTGAGGTCTGCAGAAGTTTTCTCTAAGGGAAACCCTAAAGAAATAAGATGCCTTTTGTAGGGTTTTGTTTTCCCTAGAGATGTCCATTGAATGCAAACTCATAGCC